GCTTGAAGAGCAATTAGCAGTAATAACTAAGAGAAAATCGCGTAAGAGAAAGCAGATTCAGCATAGTGGCACACTTGAGTATGGCCCAGCAGCATCGCGGGTAGCTGCTAAGGCGTGTGTAGCAGCTCAGCCATCTAAGAAGACTTAGGGTGGAGGTAGTTAACTAGGAGCTTAGTTAACTGTTTAGCGCTGTAGGAACTATAGCAAGATTAGACATAACATACAAACATGCTAGGAGGGTGTAGAAACACCTTCTAAATCTAATGTAAGCATGCAGTATACTAGGTTACTATTTAATAGCAAGTAGTTGTAGTTATTGTAACTTGTGTTAGTTATGCTAAGAGAAAATGGCTAGTTTAGTGATATGGCTGGCTTAGTGATAATCTACGTTATAAAAACTTTATATTAACGTTATATTTGTAACTGCATCCTGTGCTGAAGAGGACATCTAAAATAGACCTAACTCTAAGGTTACTTCTACCCCTTGCCTATCTTAGACTAACCTCTGTAATATCTTTATATAGATTTTAAGGGTTTTCTGCTAGATAAAGCTAGTTACAACTAGATTATAGTAATTATTAACTAACTAACGTGTTTCACAAGCGAGCGCCGCACCCAACCGAGCGCCGCACTCTCGCTGCCAGAACGCCGGCGCAACAACAGCGCGTAATGTCTCAACCACAACAAGCTCCTACACTCTATACTGAAGCTGATGTACAGCTTGCTATATCTAATATCTTAAGAAACTAAATTTAAAGTATCTAATACACTAAAAAAGTCTATAAAGTGCCTAAATAAATAATCTAATACTAACGCAATAGAACATGCTCTTAACACAATTGCGAGCTAAATGCAAAGCGCCTTATAAAGCTAGAAGAGGAGGTAGTTGTACTACGTATACTTAAGGAATCTGCGCGTGGCCTACCCTCCTTAAAGGCAGACGTACAAGATATGGCAGATAAACTGCTAAGAGAGCGCGGCGCAAAGCCTCTTGGCAAGAACTAGGTTGACAACTTAGTAAAGCGTACACCAGAGCTCCAGAAGCGGTGGACCCGCCCATACGATCGATAGCGGGCTACCTGCGAGGACCTAGCAGTTATCTAGCCCTAGTTCACGCTTGTTCAGTCTATAAAGGCGAAGTATAGTATTATAGACAAGGATGTGTACAACTTTAATAAGTCTAGCTTCCTAATAGGTAAGATCTTGTTATAGCTAGTAGTAATAGGCTTAGAGAAGCCTAGGAAGCAGAAGAAGATCTAACCTAGCAATTGTAAGTAGGTTACCCTAGTATAAGGCGTTAGGTTAATAGGGAAGATTATCCTACTATTCCTTATCCTTGCAGGTAAGGTTCTTATCTCTAACTAGTTTACTAAGGACCTCCTACAGGACTAGGTTATTAATATTAGTCCTACTAGCTAGACTAATAATAATCTAGTGCTTGCCTAGCTCTACTACTTTAATACGCATGCAAAGCTAGTTAGGGTCTACTAGCTACTTATTATTAACAGCTATAAGAGCCACTGCTTAGTGGCTTTCTAAGATCTCTGCAGAGAGAAGAAGATAATCACTCTCTGTATGCCCCTGCACTCGTCGCACCTGTTGCAGCCACTTAACGTCGCCTGCTTCTCGCCACTAAAGCGCCTGTATAGCAACAAGGTTTTGGCCTTAGCACACAGTCGCATCTACTATATTAACAAGGAAACCTTCCTACTAGCCTTTAAATTAGCGTTTAGTAAGGCGTTTACTAGAGAGAACATTCACGCAGGCTTTAGAGGTGCTAGGCTAGTCCTACATAACCTAGAGGTGGTGTTATTAAAGCTTGATATGTGCCTGCGCACGCTAACGCCACTAAAACCTAGCAATGTTACCTAGGAGCTAAAGACACTATACACTACTTACAAAGTAGAGGAGCAGTTAACTCTAATTTAAAAGTAGATTTAAATCTATTAAGGGTCTCTAGCAAGTTTGTTAGAGAAGTAGGTTAAATAGTTAGCAAAGGGCGCTTAGTAGATAGCTTATAATATAGTGTTAATGTAGGAGGAAATAGGCTACCTTTAAGACGCTGTAGAAGCGTCAATAAAGCACAAGACCTAAAAGCAATAATATATACACACAGAGGAGACCCTTATAGTTAGTAAAGTAGCTAACTTAATTACTAAAAAGGAGGGTAGGGGTTATAGTAAGGGTAAGACACCTATAAAGAGGGTGCGTGTTAGACAACACTATAGGTATTATAGTAAGATTAGATATAATTCCTATACTTGTAAGGTAGAAATAGAGGATGTAGATAATATTAAAGCTTCTAAATAATAATATCTAGGCTAGTAAACAATTTTTATTTGTGTTGTGTTGTGATATAGCGCTGCGCAGGCGTTCTGTTGTTGAAAGTGCGGCGCTCAGTTGGGTGCAGCGCTCGCTTGTGAAACACGTTATCTAAATAAGTAACGTAGATTATCACCGAGCCGGCCATATCACTAAACTGGCCACTTTCTATTAGCACGACCACCTTTTACCCTAACACAACATGCCTTAACAACAACAACTTCAGAATACTACTAGAGAAGGCAGAGTTATCCTTGCTATCTAGGCCTTCTATACTAGCCAATTTTGCAGTATCTATAGCGCTGCTAGAGCGTTAAATATACCTTATTAGTAGGTCTCTAATTACCTTTGCAATATCACGTTTTAACTAGACATACGCACTAATTGCTAGAAACTTACTATACTAGAGGAGCAGACAATTATCTAGTATATACTTAACCTTAATTTGTAAGGATTTGCGCCCTAGCTATGTGAGGTGGCAGATATAGCTAATAAGATACTTAGTGTGCGTGGTGAAGAGCCTGTTAGCAAACTATAGGCTAGCAGGCTTATGACGCGTTTAGACAAGCTTAAAATAGCCTTTAATTAAGCTAAGAATAGACAGAGGATACTATAGGAAGATCCTAAGATAATTAGCGCGTAGTTTAAGCTAGTAGAGGATACTTAAGTTAAGTATAGCGTTTACAATAATAACATGCACAACTTTAATAAAACTAGGTTCTAGATAGGTGTTGCTTTGTCTTTAAAGGTTGTAACAGGCTTAGAGAGACGTGCTTAGCCAGAGCTTGTTCAGCCAGGTGATCGTGAGTGGGTTACCGTTATCCAGAGCATCTGCGCCGCTAGGTATGCAACCCCACCTTTTATTATCTACAAAGGACGCGTCTACATCTCTGCCTAGTATAAGGAGACAGATGTACCCTATAATTAGAAGCTCTTAGTCTCTAAGAACAGTTAGATAAATAACATGCTTAGCCTTAAGTAGTTAAAGCACTTTAACACGCATATAAAGACGCGTTAGGTAGGAGTATACAGGTTACTTATCTTAGACAGCTATAAGAGCTATCTTAACTAGGAGTTTAAGGACTATTGCCTAGAGAACTAAATCCTTACTCTCTATATACTACCTTACTTATTACACATCCTCTAGCTACTTAATATAGTCTATTTCTTGCTATTAAAGCATAAGTACTCCTAACATATTTAAGACTTAGCACACAAACGCGTCTTCTATATTAATAAGGAAGGCTTCCTACTAGCCTTTAGGGATGTGTTCCTTAATATATTTATAAAGGTTAACTACTAAAAGGCCTTTAAGGTATTAGGGCTTGTTCCTACTAACGCGCAGGTAGTGTTAGATTGCCTTAAAGTGCAGCTGCATACCCTACTAGCAGTACCTCTACCTAAAACGCTGTAGCAATCTAAGACGCTAAGCAATATATATAAGTTTAGGTCTTAATCTAAGCTTGTAAGCAACTCCCTCTAATAATTACTAAGTGTAGCGTAAGAGTAGTTCTTAAAGCTTATAAAAGGTGCTAAAGAGATACTACATAAAAATGTCCTTATTAAGGCCTGCGTGCAAGAGCTTGAAGAGCAATTAGCAGTAATAACTAAGAGAAAATCGCGTAAGAGAAAGCAGATTCAGCATAGTGGCACACTTGAGTATGGCCCAGCAGCATTGCGGGTAGCTGCTGAGGCGTGTGTAGAAGCTCAGCCATCTAAGAGGACTTAGGGTAGAGGTAGTTAACTAGGAGCTTAGTTAACTGTTCAGCGCTGTAGGAACTACAGTAAAACTAGACACAACGCACAAACGTGCTAGGAGGGTATAGAAATATCTTCTAAATCTAATGTAAGCACGCAGTATGCTAGGTCACTGTTTAATAGCAAGTAGTTGTAGTTGTAGTAACTTGTGTTAGTTGTGCTAAGAGAAAATGGCCAGTTCGGTGATATGGCCGGCTCGGTGATAATCTACGTTAATTATAATACTATATTATTAAAATATTAACGCCTAAGGTATAGCTAACCTGTTTCTCTAATAGGTGTACTAATTTAGATATACCCTAGAGTCTATTGTATTAGACTGTAGTCTACAATTTATGTCTACTTTCTAGTCTGCCTTCTACAATATTATTAGTGTAAAGGTTAAACTATTAACTGCCTACTATAAGGAAATAGATAGTTAAACTAAAATTATAAACAAGTTTATTAACTAGAGATTGCGCCTACTTTTATCCTACTACTAGGATAACTAGAGCAATCTGCTGCCTATAATTAACTAAGCCTAAATAACCCTACCCTACTTAGTAATTAGTATGGCCCTGTATTAGGTCCTTTTTAGTTCTAAACTAAAGCAGAGCTAGTTCTAGAATAACTAACTAGTAAAAGGAAAAGGACTAGAAGCTATAAACTATAAGGATGCCTTAGCCCTAGCCACTTGCATGCATAACGCCTAGGCTACAGCTAAGAAGAATATAGGACAGGCTTAACTCTAAATACAGACTATAGTTAATAAGCATTATTAACTAGTTAATTAGAAGGTTAGCAATATAGTCTATCTAAGCACTAAGAACCTGTTAAACCTGCGCCCTAGCTAAAAGTTATCTAACCTATAGGAAGGTCTATTTTAAGTACTAGAATAGGTAGGACATTTATACTAACTTAACTTACCTAAGGGATCTTATATCTATAATGTGTTCACCCTAAATATGTTGCGCAAAGACCCCTAGGACCTACTCCTAGGATAAGAAGCGCTAAAACCCTCAGGTATCCCTATCTAAGGCGTTAAAGAGTGGGAAGTGGAAGACATCCTAGCTAGCAAGCTCTATCGCGCAACTCTGAAGTATTAGGTTAAGTAGGTAGGCTACAATCATGACCCTACTTAGTATAACGCCTCTAACTTTATAGGCACCCCTAGGCTGGCGGATGGGTAGGGTATGCTTTTTTACGTTTTGGCTTATAGCTTCTTAACTAGCAGAGATACGCTTACATAATCTATTATTCGATAGAAGCGCCTAGTATTGCGCCTTCTAATAAAAAAAGAATTAGCTTATTCTGCCTAGTATTAGCTGAGTTATTGACACTACCTAGCAAAGTATACCTATTAATAGGTATGCTCGCTAGGTACCCCCCCTTTTTTGACATTTTCTAGCCTCTAGCTTGTGCGATTTAATAGTTATAACAAAACCCTCTACTACAGAAATATAGAGGTAGTTTTTCTCTTTCTTTTAAGCCCTATTTCGCTAGAATCCATGTATTATTGACAAAGTTTTGGGGGGTACCCACGAAGGACGTTGGAGTATACCCATTCCGCCAGCCTAGGCACCCCCTACAAGTTAAGGGCGTTCCACAAACAATATCTAAATTAGCTAGGACCTCTAAGAGGTCTAGACAAATAGATTAACGCGTAGGAGAAAGGAATAGAAGACATGTTACAGCTAAAGGATAACAAAGTAAGGGAGAACAAACACAGTTTATTATAGTACGCTATCTACAGGTACAAACTAGCCAGTTTTAGACCCCACCTTAGGCCTCACAGCAGATCTATCTTATCACCTAACAATTCATGAGGCACGTCAGACAGCTCACTATCTGACTCTGCCCCAACTGCTCCTCCTAAACCACTATCATATCTATTGCCCCTTCTACCACTTGGACGACCACCCTGTCCACCTCATTGTCCTTTTCCACCCCAAGTCACAGATATGAGACTATCTGTCTACAAGGAGGGGGGTAGTGTAACAACACTCTACAAACAGTGACCCAATACCACTAGGATACAGTTCTAGCAACTTATGACCATGGCCCTTGTTGCATAGCATAAGCTCACACTAAACTACTACTAAACCCTTATATGTAAGGAGCAAGGAACTGTAGCACTATAGAGTAGTTTTTCTGTATCCTTTTGTACAAGACCTATAGGTGTAGAGAATATATTCTAGTGTTCTTATCATCCTAGCACTCCTATATGCCTTATAGCGGATTCACACCTATTCCAGATATCTCTCTTCTTGCCTGCGTCGTTACAACTACACTATCTTTAGTCTCCCTTGATACTTAGATCCTGTGACAACAGCTCCTGTGGATATAACGCCCATTATAAAGCTAGATTTGTTAAAGTTGTAGGTGTCTTTATCCTAGATAACGTACCCCACAGGCGAGTCGGACACACGGGCGAGTCGGACACTTTTGCCAAGACCCTACCAAAACACCCTTACTACACCAATGCCTCTCCACAAACGCCAGTCAGACGCGTTAAAAGAAGCTCAGATACAGCTTGCGCTTCAGGCTCTTAAACAAGACACGACTCTCTCTCTACAGCGCGCTGCAGCTATCTATAGAGCTCCCCTACAGACACTAAGCGACTAACGCGCTGGACGACCTTCATGAGTTAATTCTATACCCAAATTACAGAGCCTAACTAATACTAAGGAGCAGGTGATTGTTCATTATATACTTGAGCTAGACACGCGAGGATTTTCCTCTTGGCTAGCAGCTGTGGCTGATATAGCCAATTCTTTGCACGCTAAGCGCAGTCTAGGCCATGTTAGCCTAAACTAGCCTAGTACGTTTATTAAGCGCCAACTAGAGCTTAAAGTGAAGTTTAACGGCAAGTATGACTACAAGAGAGCCCTCTGCAATAATCCTAAGATAATCTAGGGCTAGTTTAGCCTAGTAGCTAATATTAAAGCTAAGTATAGCATCTAGGATAACATTACATACAACTTTAATAAGACAGGCTTTATAATAGGCTAGATATCTACTAGAGCAGTTGTTACAGCTTTAGAGAGACAAGGACAGCTAAAGTAGGTCTAGCTAGGCAATTAGGAGTAGATAACAGTTATTAAGGGCATTAATGCTAAAGGGTAGGCTATTCTGCCCTTTATTATCTTCTAGGGCTATAACTACCTCTTAAACTAGTATAAAGAGGATAATCTGCCCTATAATAGGTTATTAGGGTCTCTAAGAATAGCTAGACTTCTAACAAACTTAGTCTTAACTAGTTAAAGCACTTTAACATATATACAAAGGAGCGTACTATTAGTAGCTACTATCTACTAGTTATTAATAGTTATAAGAGCTATAATTTACTAGATTTCTAGGAATACTATAAGGATAATAAGAATATTACTATATATCTACCTCTACACTTATTTTATCTCCTATAGCTACTTAATATAGGCTGATTTGCTGCTCTAAAGAAGGTGTATAGGCGCTAAGCTAAAGACCTTAACGTGGTTTATCACCAAGCCGCCAGGTATCACCGAACCGCCACCCCTCGCCAATTTTGCGACTGTTACGACAATTATTACAATGCCATCACAACGCAACGCGCAATCAACTAACGCGCAGGAGGGCTTACATAACACAATTACAAGGCTAATTTAAAGAAGCTAACAAAGGTAGAAGAGGAGGCAATAGTTAACTATATACTTGAGCTAGACAGGCAAGGAATAGGCGCAACAAAGACTATAGTGCAAGATATAGCTAATAATCTGCTTACTGCACGTAGTGAAGGACCTGTTAGCAAGCTCTAGGTAAACAGGTTTAACACACATACCTAATAAATTAAGCTTTAACGTAGCTAACTGTATAATTATTAATAAGCCCTAAATAAAGACACACGCGTTATAACGCCCTAGTTTAAGCTAGTTAGGAATACAAAGGAGAAGTATAGAATCCTAGATAGAGATACCTACAACTTTAATAAGACTAGGTTTATAATAGGCATAATTAGGTCTAAGATAGTGTTTACAGGCTTAGAGAAGCAATCTAACCCTAAGAATATCTAGCCTAGCAATTAGGAGTAGGTTATAATTATTATTAGTGTCTATGCTGCTGGCTAGGCTATCCTACCCTTTATTATCTTCTAAGGCAAGGTCCTAATTACAACCTAGTACCCTAATCTGCCTTGTAATTAGGTAATTATAACTAGCAAGAACAGCTAGATAATAAACAAGCTTAGTCTAGAGTAGTTAAAGCACTTTAACATGTCTATAAAAGAGTGTACTATTAGTGCCTACTGTCTACTTATTATTAATAGCTATAAGAGCTATAACTCTGCAGAGTTTAAGGAATACTGTGTAGAATATAAGATTATTACCTTGTGTATACCCCTACACTTGTTGCACCTGTTGCAGCTGCTTAACATAGCCTATTTTAGCCCCTTAAAGAGGGTGTACTTAATTAAGGTTAACACCTAGTTATAATACTTAAAGATATAAATTAAGAAAGAGTTCTTCCTTACTAGCTTCTAGATAGCCTATTATAAGGCTATTATAAAAGATAATATCTACAGAGGCTTTAGAGGCGCAGGACTAGTTCCTTTTAACCTAGAGCGAGTGCTATTAAAGCTTGATGTAGTCCTTTGCACGCTAACACCACCACTACTAGAGACTACCCTATAGGAATCTAAAACACTAACTAGCGCAAAGGAGGTTAAGTCACAAACGTTGTATATCTGTAAGCGCATGTAATTGCACAGAGATTTACCCCTGTCTCCTATTATAAAATTACTTAACTTGCTTGCTAGAGGGGTTGCGTGGATAGACTATGCTAACGTGTTGCAGAGAAGGGAAATAGATAGTATAAAGAAGGCTATTAAGGCTCTAACAGCGCAGCGTAGTTGTAAAAGAAAGTATATCTAGACAGAGGAGGCTCTCATAGTTAGTAAGGTACAGGATATAATAGCTAAGAAGGATAGTGGTGGTAGTAAGGCATCTAAACAGTCTAGGAAGAAGGTGCGCAAAGAGAGGCACTATGGACGTTGTGGCAAGATTAGCCACAATTTGCGCACCTGCACTGCAGAAATATTAGATGTAGATAATAGCACTGCTTCTAAAGAGTAATTTTAGTAATTATAAGTATTAGTGTAGTGTTGTGGTTAAGCGTAATAGTTGTGTAATAGTTAGTAACTCTAAAAAAGTTGGTGAGGGGTGGCGGTTTAGTGATACCTGGCGGCTTGGTGATAAACCACGTTATATATAACTAGATTAACTATATTATAAAGCTTAAGTTCCTGCTATACTTTAATATAGCCTATAATACTATATTTACCTTAAGTAACATCTAAGGAGGGTTCTAAGGCGTTAGACTAGTCCCCTTTAACCTAGAATAGGTTATAATAGGGAGTAATATAAAGCTACACACTCTATTACTATAACTCCCTAATAATAATAAGCCCTAGCAGTTGCAAACCCCTAGTAATACCCTAGAGCTTTAGTTATAATTAACTCTAATTTAAGGGAAGTATAAGAAGTAGCAGGGTAGCTCACCTAATTCTATGCTAAGCGCGCTTGAGCACTACGCAAAGGGGGGAGCAATTCTATTACACAAGCTAGTTTTAGCGCAACAGGACAACGCTGAGCTTCACGCAGCTCTAGCAGCTGCTACAGAACGTAAATCACGCAAAAGAAAGCAAATCTAGAAGGAAGGGACCCTTATAGTTAAGGAAGGGCAGTAGATAGCAGCTCTAAAGGAGTTTAGGGCATATAGTAATAGAAAGAAGTTAAAGAAGCAGGTGCGCGCTAAAGTAGGTAAACCCTCCTAACAACACTGTAGATAGTATAATTAGACTAGGCACAACGCGCAAACATGCAAGAATAATGTAGAAGTAGTCTCTAAATAATATTCTAAGGTGTACTGCACCTTGCAGCGCCAGAGTGTGGTGTTTTGGGCCATAATAGGGTGAGGTTTAGTAGGGTCTTGGCAAAAGTGTCCGACTCGTCCGTGTGTCCGACTCGCCCGTGGGGTACGTTACTATACTTAGCTTTAGTATTCTCTACTAGGCAAAACTAGTCTCCTATTACCTTATGATCCTTATAAAGGGCTCTCTTATAGTTATACTTTTAATTAAACTTAACTCTAAGCTCTAGCTAACATCTAACAAAGTTAGCAGCCTAGTTCTTGCTAACAGGGGTCTAGTGGCGCTTAGCAAGTAGAGAATTAGCTATATCCTCTACATTAGCAAGCCAGGGCAAGTAGCCTTGCTTATCTAGCTTTAGTCTGTGCTAGACAATCACCTCCTCCTCAGTACTAGCTAGCTTAATTTTATTAGGCTTACAATCGCGTTGTGAAGTAGTTCTAGCAAGTTAGTTACTAAGGGTGCTTTAAGACACGTTGTAGATTGCAGCAGCGCGTTACTAGGAGAGTGTCGCGTCTTTTTAGATAGCTTGTAAGGCAAGCTGTATATTAGCCTTATTTAGAGGCTTTTTTGTGTTGTTGCGTTAAGACATTGAAGGTGGAGTGAAGTTTGGCGTGGTCTTGGCAAAAGTGACCGGCTCGCTTGGGTGACCGGCTCGCTTGTGGAGTACGTTCATATGCGCACGGACACGGTATGGGCGACTCACCCGTCAGGTACGTTACAGCAGGGCAACTAAGAGTGAACTATGAAGTGATGATGGATCACGTTACTAATGGCGTTAGTCTATTCTTTTATAAGTTTAAATTGCTCTTTTATTAGTTTAAATCACACGCAGAGCACTTTTCTATCCTCTACTTTTTAGCACGTGTTATGTGCACAACAATACTGTAGTACTACGCTAATTACGGCAAAATACGCCTGTTGTCTATATGCCACACACCCTACATAAGTTTTGGGACGCTACAATTATCTATAATTAACGAAGGTTACGGCAACTAACCCTCCCCGTAGCCGTACACCTCCTGTTGGCAACGCTGAACCATTCTAAGATCTTCTGTAAGCACGTGGCTCAGATCAAATGATATCCTATTGTAGCAGGCACTGCCCGGTGGGCAAGTGCACTTACCTGAGAGCTGAGAGCTTGTGTAACACAATATCAAACAACACGACATTACACAACACGACATCACACAACACAACATCACACAACACAACATCACACAACACGACAACAGATAGCAATACAATCGTTGATCACAGTCTCCGGCCGACACTGCTCACGCAGTTACATCTTCGAGCTCGAGCGGGATGAACACCTCCACGAGAAGGACAGGCTACAGGAGTATCTTGATAGATTGAAGTACAGGGCCAGAGTCTTCTCGCGAACTCTATGAACTCACATAAGGTCACAATCGAACTCAGCGTGATATCACCGGGCTCACGGAGTTTATTTGTATCGCGGAAGGAAAGCACGATGAGCATCGTTTGACCACAGAAACCTCAATCGTGAAGTCATATGCCAGGTCACTGGATGGGAGGATCTCATGAGCGCTGTGCTAATATGATGCTCAAGTACGAGCACTTCAAGCGCGAAGTCATCTCGTTCAAGGAGAAGCTGAAGGAGTTCGAAGCTCGCGATTTTGATATGAAGGAGTCTCTTTACAGGTCTTGTGAGGGTTACCGCTTGATCATTATCGAGCGTGACCAGACCAAGGAGAACCTGCATGACCAGCACAACAGGTATGCGGACTACCACCGTCAGATCAATACGCTGGAACAGTCCTTTCGTCATGCGGAGGAGACGGTCGTCAATATCAGAGCTGAGATCGATACACTCACTGAGTGTAACAAGGTTCTAATGCTTGAAGGTGATGACAGCTGCTCCAAGCACAGTCACCTGCACAATGAGTTTTCCGAACTCAGGGAGAAGCTCTTGGTCTTCCAGGCCGATATCCAGATTGACTGGCGCCCGTCATCGTCGTCGAAAGCTTGCGCACTATCCTTCGCGAAGCGCGCGAACAGAAAGGACGCGCTATTTCTGCGAGGGAAACCGCCAATCGTGAGAGAGACGACTATCTTTCCAAGCACAAAGAGAAGCGCGGTGAGATGTAGCGCTTTGAGGAGAGCGCATCAGCTCATTATCACGCACACAGCGAGTTAAAGGGCGGGTTGAGGTCGTTGACTCGCACGGTATCTAGCGGCACCACCACGACAAGTACAGCCATGTGGCTAATGGCCACAACCACAGCCGTGGAGGCGGTGTATCTAGACTTTGAGCGATCAGATTTGGCTTGTGCTTACGTGGTAACGTAGAGTAGTCGTGCGCCTCGGCAAGTCGAGGTTGTCAGTCTTTGACGCGCTCGCGTGTAATACACTCGATTAAAGCAATGCACACTGGCGTTCTTAGAGTGATGTTATGATTGTATTGTAATGAAATGGTCAAGCAGTTGCAATGTCCGTGCCTCTCTTTCATTTCGCTGGCGATGTCATCAGATGGATTCGCCAGCCCCCAGCCTCTGGCCCTCTTTTACTGTCGTGTTCAATGACTTGGAGGTGGCCGCGGGATGTACGAGTTGCGCGAGAGTTGGTGTTCATTCCCGCTGCGCCGTAGAAGTCCAGCGTTTCCAGACGTCGCGTGTGTTTTCCGATAGGTCGCGATTTGCAATGACAGATCCTAAAGAACCGCAATATTTGCCAGAGACCTCCGCGCTGCCTGATATGTTGTGTATCAAGAATACAATAGCTATTTGAGGGGACATAATTGACCTGCGAGAGCAGAACCCCACCCTCCAGAGCCCCACTTGGTATAAGCCGTTCTGTGGTCCTTACTAGAGTCTGTATACTTAGCCATATTCCCTGCCATCGCAGCCTGGGTGAAGCGTCAACATCAATCTCAAGAAGCTCTTTCCTTTGACATGCCTTCACAAAGGCGATTAGGGAAGACAGCCCCAGAGGGTGTTGTGATAGGGGTGTTGAGCTTGGCAATCATCTAGATAATTCAATGGGATTGGCAGGGTCGCTGTGTATAGAAGTTGTCCACTCCTTGCTAGCAACAAAGACAGAACTTCGTCAGGTTGTTCTATGTGTCTTTTGCACCACACAACAGGCTTGGTAAGTTGTTTCGCATTTTCGCGCTAATTTGATCAGGGCTTCCTCTCACCTGCGGCTAAATGAAAATTCATTGGCAGCTACTGCTGAGGGTACGACGGCAACTTCTGGCTCCTAACTAATCGAAAGAACTAGCTTTACGACAGAGACTGCGTTGTTTGCCGTGCGAAGGTCCAGGCGGCTCGGCGAAATTGTCGGTGGCGCGAGCTTCAAAGCCAGCCTCGCACGCTTCAGGAATGGCTGCAACTCTCTCCATTTGTACACTTCTATATCGCCGTATAGCCTTCCATTTGTCAGCGGGATAGCAGTTGCTGCGGTCCAGCGATGTCGGCCGAACAATTCCTCCGGATTCGTTGCTCTTTAAAGCTTGGAAATCGCGACTTCCAAGCCCTCCTTGCATCTTCGGTATATATGCTGCGCAACCTGCGTGCACTCTGCGTGCAACTAGCATCGTCGCGTTCGATACCAAGTCGTCAGCGTCGCTTGATCTGAAAACTCGCCCAACGGCAGGCCTTGTATTGCTAAGACTCCTGTACTCTGTTAGGTTCTATTATTGCAAGCCTGCTCGCTTACCATGCTTGCACTTGCACTTGCACATTGCTGCTTTTGGCGGCATGACGGAAGCGCATAGAACCGCGTCCGGAAACTAGCAATAGTCACTCACCTTTTTCTCGTCTTCCCTTCGATCAGTCATATACACACGGTCCATCAATACAACTTTCATGACTTCCGGTATTGTGAACTCTTCTTCTGCGTCTTTCATCCGCTGTGCTTCTGCGCTGTTCGACGCAGCATAACACTGCATCAGATGCAAATCATCCTTGAAGGACATCTCAACCATCGCATCCCATCCGAGATCCTTGGGATAGCCCACGAGTACCACTGGCGCATTCTCATCATTCCGATGTTTCGATGCAAGAGTGGCCCCTAGCCTGTCTCCAAAGCCTGAGCCGCATCGCTCAACGTACCGCACGGTCGTCAAGACCGGGGCAAGGGGGCCGAATACTTCCTTGATGATGGGAATATACTTCGACTCCATGTACTCTCTGAACTGAGCAGGCGTGAAGTCTGGTCGTCGAGTGTAGAAAACGAGAATGGCGGGCGCCGTGGTGGACATGCTGTCTGATCAAGCTGGCTTGACAGGTGAAAATGAGGGTAGATTTGGGGTTGGGGAGGGGAGCTGTCGATTCGGCTCTGTCGAAATTTGAATAGCTTCGTCCTAGCAGATAGGTAGCGCGGCCACCTATAGCCGATCACAGTTCGGTCTCACTCTCGGCTTGAAGAGATTGTTGAGGCGCACTCTGAATCACGTCCAGTCCCTGAGGGAGAGTCTGTTATTATCGCACATTTTGACGACTCAGCCTTTGAGTTCTGAAGTGGGTGGAGATGTGCAACTGTGGGTCGGCCCTTGCCGCGACAAGCCCGAAGCCCCCTTACTAAGGATTGACTATCCCTTCGACACAGCTTGAGCGTGAAATACGCGTCGCACGCATGAGTCGTGCATGCTCTTCATATGGCAGAAGCATGTGTCTGCTGAGTCGACAGCCATGATTTCCAGCGCCTCGACGATGCGCGCATAATGAATCAAGGGTTCAGGTAGGAATTGCGATGAATACAGGTCGCATTGCCGTTCACTCGTTGGCAAAGATGCAGACATTGAACTGATGTCGATTCTCGGCACGTAACGTAAATTAGAGACTCATTGGTGCGCGGCAGCTGCGGCGAAATAGGCAAAAGGAGCTAACGTCTAAGCCTTCGATTGATAATTAGGCTAATAACAACAGACTTAGCATCGAGAGCAAGCCACCTCAGCCACTTCCTGTGACACAAGTGATAATTGGCCAGTGCTTCTTTGGCGACCTTACATACTAATCGCGGGTCTGAGCAGTAGTGCCTCCGGCAAGTGGAGTAATCACGTGGCGCCATTCCTTACCAAGTAGGTGCTTCAGGGACGAGACTCGAGCAAATATGAGCCAGCTAGCAGCTAGCTGTGGTGGTTGTGCAGGCGATTCAGAGTCTGTTGTTGGCTCAAGGTCACGGGTTTCGCTCATATGCGGGTATGGTGATCTTGTTCATATATCGCCAACGCTAATAGGACGTCGACGTGGAATGCAGCATTAGTTTCCCTTCAGGGGTGTTATAGGAGATGCACCGCACGGCTGCTTGTTTGGGTAGGTCATCCTGCCCCGCTCCCGTGAGGGGGTTCGGACAAGCACCCACCAAATCTTCCATCCACACGCCATCAGGCTCGAGAACGGGGACGGCTCGCCGGTCCGAGGGCGCCACTTTCCGCTTCGGGACAGGATGGCAGGTCGTGTTAAAAGATGGTGGCATGCGAACTACCATGGCAGTATCTTTTCTTATACCTCAGACGTCATTGAGGCCCTTTTCTAACAGCACTACGGCTTGTAGCTAGCAAGATGAAATTCCGCGATGGTAAGAATTAACGTTAAGCACACAAGGACAGCACTGACTCCATGAAGGCATGTGGTTGGTCAACGACCAATTCACGGTTCAGCATGCGGAAGAGATATACTCCGTTACGCCACGCGAAGACAAGCAAGCAGTAATTCTTTTGGCTCCCACGAAAAAGATCTTCTCGAGAGGTGATACCCTTAATCTCGCAACCCTCTCCGTGGAGTTGGAGGCACAGTTCGATGGTGTGATATCTCTTGAAGTCACTCATCATTCAGGTGCCAGGCGACTTGGTCCGAACTTCGACTTGTTCCCGGATGGACGACCACCGTCACTTGGCAAGATCAAGGAAAGCGTAGATAGGAAAGGGATCACAATCACCTCGGGTTCGCTGAGCGCTACCGTTAGTGGCAATGACCACACTTTCGACATCAAATTCCATGCCACTGACGGCTCGAAATACCTCACTGCCTTACTGGGCCGCAGTGTTGGTCTCGCCTACACGCCTGCTTTGAGCACGCCAAAGCAAGTTGAGGACCTAAGCGCGCACAAACACTATGTCTTCACGCAGACAGAGCTGAGTGTTGGCGAGTCTATTCATGGCCTGGGTGAAAGGTTCGGTGCTTGGAACAAGATCGGCCAGAATGTCGAGGTATGGAATGAGGATGGTGGAACTTCCAGCGAACAGGCCTACAAGAACATCTCATTCTGGCTGAGCTCAAGAGGCTATGGTGTTTTTATTGACACGCCGGATAAGATCGATCTGGAGATTGGAAGTGAGCGATGTTCGAGACTGCAAACAACGGTTGAGGGACAGAGACTGAAGTGGTGAGTACATAGATGAAGCACTTCAACACTATCGCTGACAGCCATAGGTATCTTATCCACGGACCAACCCCAAAGGAGGTGTTGACCAAGTATTCAATCATAACGGGCAAGGCAAATCGCGTCCCAGCATGGTCATATGGCCTTTGGCTCAGCACTTCCTTCACTACTTCATACGATGAGAAGACTGTCAATCACTTCGTTTCGCGCATGTCGGAGTCTAAGATCCCAGTTGAGGTGTTCCACTTTGACTGTTTCTGGCTCCGCGCTTTCCATTGGTGCGACTTCGTGTGGGATCCGGAGTTCTTCCCTGATGCCAAAGGTCAGATTCAACGCGGAAAGGAGGCCGGACTGTTCAACAAAGTCTCGGTATGGACAAACCCTTACGTTGGCCAAGCGAGTCCCGTCTTCCAGTACGCCGCCGAGAAGGGGTATTTGCTCAAGAAGACCAACGGCGATGTCTGGCAGTGGGACTTATGGCAGACCGGCATGGGCGTTGTGGACTTCACGAACCCAGAAGCATGCGAATGGTTCGGTGGCTGTATGGACAAATTATTCGAGATGGGTGTTGATTCGATCAAGACCGACTTTGGCGAACGCATTCCTACCAAAAACGTTCAGTGGCACGATAAAAGCGTCGACCCCAGCCGTATGCACAACTACTATGCCTTCGCCTACAACAAGCTTGTATACGAAGCGGTGCAGAGAAAGTTCGGCAAGAACGAAGCCATCTTGTTTGCACGGACCGCATGCGCTGGCTCACAACGCTTCCCGTTGCAGTGGGGCGGTGACTGCGAGTCCACACCCGCTGCACTTGCCGAGTCAGTGCGAGGAGGTCTCAGCCTCGGTCTGGCATCGTTTGCCTTCTGGACCAGTGATATTGGTGGTTTCGAGGGTAGTCCACCTCCATGGATCTACAAGCGCTGGGTGGCCTTCGGATTGCTCAACTCACACAGTCGACTGCATGGATCCAACTCGTACCGTGTGCCTTGGCTCGTGGATGACTCTTCAACAGAGCCAGAGAATTGCACGGACGTTCTCAGACATTGGGTACAAATCAAACGTCAGCTGATGCCATACCTATATGCACAGTCTGTTGAGAGTGTCGCGAATGGCTGGCCCACTAGCGTTCGTGCAGTTGCGCTTGAATTTCCTGATGATCCAACAACTTGGTTTTGCGATCGCGAATTCATGGTAGGAAGTCAAATCCTGGCTGCTCCAGTCTTCGAAGAGGATGGTACTGCTGAGTACTACCTACCACCGGGTCGATGGTTCAGCTTCTGGGATGGAGATGTGGTCCAAGGTGGTAGATGGATCCGCGAGAAGTTTGGTTTCCTCCAGTTGCCGCTGTTTGTACGCGAAGGAAGCGTGCTAGTTCTTGGTCAAGCAGAAGGCTCCGGTGGCTTCGCCTATGATTGGCTGAGCTCTGGAGGCGAGGTGCGTCTGTACGGTGTCAAACAAGGTGACAAAGCTGTACTTGTGGACACCAACGGTGATGAGAAGGCTACCTTGGAGGTTGACTCGAACGGTGAGCTGACAGGCCTGGACGCCTTGACTGGTGACTGGAAGGTCTCGAAGCTCGGTTAGGAATGCGGAACGCTGAATACGGGTGTGCTGCTACAAGCAGCACACGGACAACCAGACTGCGCGATTGAATAGGAGTAGGTAAAGTCCAGCCGCGTACCAGTTTTACGATCAGATGTCACTTTGCCTTTAGGCGCGAGATGTTACTTTCACACACCCATAACCACCGGCTAATATGAAGCGAGCGAGCGGGGATGCACAGCGTTTGCCGTCAATTGGCGGGAAATCAGGCATTCATTCCCATTACGCTTTACCCCCGCTCACGCTACTGTACCCCGAATGCCCTTTTCTGACCCCAGACCCTCATGCTTGGGATCAATAAGCCTTGCAACATGATCCACCCCTTTCATCCTGTTGGCAATTGGCAGGCTACTCATGGAATCTAGGGGCGGTTTCCGGCTCCAAATGCTTGTGGCGTGGTGCAACATACATGATCAGCGTGGTACAACGGCTTGACTTCATGTTTGGTTGGCCTTGTTAAAGACCTGGATGCCGTCTGATATTGGAAAGTGAACACCAGGTTTTCTTTGCTCGTCGCTCTGTGAGGACCGCCAGCAGAGATGGGTCTTCTTTTCAACGTCCTTCTGGCGGTATTTGCCGCCAATGGCAGTTTCCTGTTCGGTTATGATGCCGGTGTGATGACAATTGTTATCCAGTCGCCGCACTTCCTACACTTCTTCAATACGACCGTTGAGTCAAACATTATAGGTGCCATCAATGCGACGTTCTCAGGCGGCGCGGTGTTTGGTTCCCTGATGTAGGTAAAGAAGGCGTTCCAGTATGACAGAGACTGACAGCGATTAGGGGAGGTCTTACGATGGACAGTCTTGGTCGCAGGAAGACAATTATGGTCGGTGCGATCATCAATCTGGTTGGTGCTTTACTACAGACCGCAGCTCAGCATCTCGCAATGATCCTTGTTGGCCGCATCATGGCCGGCTGGGCTGTTGGTATCCTGTCTATGTCTGTTCCGATTTATCAGTCCGAATGCGCGCATCCGAAGAAACGAGGTACGATACGTTGCTTTTAGCTAATGCAGATGCTAACTGACATCCACCAAGGTTTGATTGTCGGTATTTCACAACAAATGATTGGCATCGGATTCATCGTCTCGACTTGGGTGGGTTACGGGTCATCGAAGGTTCCTCAGACCAGCTCGTTCTCCTGGCGCTTTCCGCTCGCATTTCAATGCGTCCCATGCCTTCTGCTCATCTGCGGCATTATGTTCTTTCCAGAAAGTCCGCGCTATCTCGTTGAGACTGATCGTAGTGATGAGGCGTTAAGAGTTCTGCACAAGTTGCACTACAACGGCAGCAACGAGGACTGGATCAATCAGGAGTTCAATGAGATCAAACTCACCATCGAGGCTGAGAAAGCTATCACAGCGCCGGGTTGGGCTATCATGTTCAAGGTCCCAACTTGGCGCACCCGCTTGCTACACGCGACCTCTATCCAGCTTTTTGGCCAGATGACCGGGTATGCAGGTCCCGGTATAAAGCATCAGAAGTCGCTTACTAACTATACATCCCAGTATCAACGTGATCGGCTACTATCAGACTATCATGTACCACAATCTGGGGATCGAGGGTGACCGCGCGTTACTCGTAACCGGCATCTACAACGTGGTTGGCCCAATCTTCAATTTGATTTTCATCACCTTCTTCCTCGACCGGGTTGGCAGAAGGAAGCCTTTGTTGTTCGGAACGATTGCAATCACCATTGCATTAATCTGCGAAGCCGGTGTGGGTTCGCAAGTCAAGAACGCCACTGGTTCTCGCAAGGATGCCCTATCTGCTGCCGGAGTGTTCTTCCTGTTCCTAGTATCTTGCATCTTCAGCGTATCATTCGGTCCGATATCTTGGGTTTACGCTTCAGAGATCATGCCACTGAGTATTCGTGGTCGTGGATCGGCTTTTGCAACAGGTATTGGCAACTGGCTCGTCGGCACGGTATGGTCGCAAGTGTCACCCATCGGCTTGGGAACGGCCGAGTGGAAGTTCTATTTCATCTTCGTGGCGTTCAATCTGGTCATCACGTTCCCATGCATCTTCTTCTTCTACAAGGTAACCTTCTGCACAAAAATCTCTCGTTTGCCACTGGCTGACCTCTCCAGGAAACTAAAGAATTGTCTCTTGAGGAGATCGATCTGCTTTTCGGGGACCGTGCACTTGGCACTTTGCCCGATGATCTGGACGACAAGCAGAGAGAGATCGAGTTGGAGAGGATCGAGAATGCAAAAAAGATTCTCGCGAAGGATCAGGTGACCGCAGTTCCCGGGCACTAGTTTACCCGGACATACGGCGCGAGGAGATGCAGGTAGAACTTACAGTAGAAGAGAGTGACTCGAGAATGGCGACTGCGCAGATGAACAAGTAGAATTAGAGCAGTTCCCTATCTGAGATTCTGCCTATTTGTGTCTCAGGCCATTGTTTTTCGTGTCAACAAGCCGTGTTGACACATTTTCGTGATGGCCGTCATTTTTGCCTTGATAAAGATTGATTGCGTCACCGCAGGCGAAGGCGCGAATGGTCAAGAGCGTGGCTTACCTGCCATCCTTGCGTGCGATCACATCGACATCACCCACGACTTTCTCAATTCTCAATCATCCTCTTCACTCACACAGCATCCTCAACCACATCGTTTTACGAGTTGTTTTGTCGCAGTCAGAATCCTGCACGTTTGCATGCTGAGTCTCTGGTCCCCAGCCAGTCAATGACGCTCACCTTAAGTCCCCCGGAACGATCTCTGCTCCTAAATCTGACACCTGAGCTGTGCTCTCAGATCTACGAATATATCATTGAGAGTCGCGTGGTGCATATCCGGATGTAATGGGCAGGATTTTTTCACCAACGGGTTATTCAGATAGCTGCTTCAACGACCTCCAGCTACTCCTCGAATCATCTGCGTATGACTTGTTCAGAAAGGCTGTGCCATTTAACCCCGTATGTTGACAGATGAGTCAGGACACATATTTGCTGCTATTCAGATTATGGGTTTGGGAATTCAAAGATAACTTCACGCTGGACCAGTTCGTAACAGCGTGAGGTTTGGGCTCGATTCCTGTGAACACAAACATGCCATTCACAAAGTGGCCGTTACTCTACCCGGAAATCATCAATCCCACGAGAAGATTTTACAGAGCTTACAAGAAGTACTTCTGATTAGTTCGATGCGACCTGCTGGGGGCAATGGTCAGCCAGAGCCAACTGCTTCAGCATCTTGCAGAGACGTGATACGTCTAAGAAAGGATACACAGACCGACACATGGCTGCGAAGTGATTGAGTTTTTTTCGCCAATTTCAAGTCAGAGCACATTTGCGCAATGGAAAGATCTCTAGAGCTTGTGACCTTGGGTATCATCTGTACTTCGTCGATGAATGGCATATGGTAGTGGAAACATCAGCATCCAAGTCCATATGTTGCGGTATCAAGGGCAAATGTATATAACGAGTGTATTGTGTTCTGTGTCTTGTCGTACTTGCATCTTTGTTCTCCAAGGCTCGCTGCGGGGTTTGTTTTGATGACGTCTTTGTGATGCAGCTGAGGTAAGAGGTGCTCAACAACATGAGGAAGTAGCACCAGACCACCGCCAACAACACGTGATCCGCTTCTCCTCCCAACCGTTACACCATACTTCGACAGGCTAATCATGTTTGGGCCGAACAAAAACCTCACCAGGTAGGTTAACAGCCTGATCTGCATTCGAACAGCTCTCCTTTACCGTATCCACTTTCACGGCGACTGTAAACTCGGTCACTTTGACGACAAAGTCCCAATGCAACGGCACTTCGACCCCATACGGACCGACATGCGACTCATTATGCTCTGGTAATGGCTCAAAAGTCGCGACTGGAACGGTTGTCAGTTCTTCCCATGGAAATCTAGAAGCAGGAACTTGGACCCTCCATATGAGCCTCTCGAACTTCCTCCTTGACCTCTCTTACTTTAGTGAGGTCGGGTACAGTATGTGTTCTACGCAGCAACGGACTTTGCAATGGACTACAAGGTCTACTTGACATACTGCTGTTGATTTTCGATAAGGATACGATCTTCTTCAGCATGGTTACGTGCGAGCTGTTTAGCCTGATCGTAGTTTTACCTTTCATTCGAGGGCTTTTATGTGTGTAGGCTCAAGCGTTTGTGACTTTCGCCAACACTATACTTGAACAGCGGTGCAATGCTAAGTGCCACGGAAATTGTGACTGAAAAAAACTACCCGGCTCTTGCTGTCGGGTTGCGTAAAGGTATGTGTGGTTTCACGCTAGAAAGTGATAATACTGACTACACTGGTGCTGATATTCAGACTGATATCAATGCGACGAAATTTCTAGAAGCAATGCGTGCACGCAGTCTCAAGTCGGTAGGCTCCCACTCGACCCTTCCGCGCTGCACACTGTCATAGCTAATCATACCTCAGCTCTGATGTCTCTCTGAAGCCGTCTTCAATCAGACGAACTACATACTCCAGGTATATCGTGCGCATGTCGCTTGGCTGAGCTTCGCTCTCTGCGTATCGTGGAAGTACACGGAATACAATGACTCTTTGCAGAGCTTGGACACAGTGCAACCCTCCATTCACATGCACAGTATTTGCCCTGTTGTTTTTCCCGGATCCACCACCTACAGTAGGCGCAGCGGATGAGCTGGAACCGTCGCCGTCATTTCCGTCATTGCGGTAACGACTTGTACGCCAATCTCCGGTCGGAAGCTGTCGTTGATCCAGATCGTCGCCACTAGACTTAGCCCGCAGCAAAGTTTTACCTTGACAAGGAGACTCGTCCTCCGCAACACTGGGTTGGTGATGAAGAACACGTCTGGCCGGGGGATCGCCAAAGCTTGCAGCATTGCCAGAATCATCGATGCTCATTGTGACTGCGACGAAAAATTGACCTTTGTTTTCTTTACGGCAATTAGGTCTCTGGAAAGTTTCAGCTCTTATGAATTCACTTCAATGCAGTACAGCAGAGCAGCGACTACGTGTCGCAACCGCCTCTTGAACAGCGCGAGTCCAGCGCGTTGGCTGGTGACCACGTATTGCAGATCTGTTATGGAGCGGCTCGCCTAGCATGCAAGTTGGCTTGTCACACGAGATGTCGTGATAGGGCGACAAGTGGCAGTGATTTCGCGTTCGCGAACGTGGCCCCCGATCGACTAGCGTTCGACCGAGTGACATACTTTTGGACCCTCATATGTACTCTGCTCACACGTGGAGCAGACAGTTTCTGGTATTACGATGGTACTACTCTGACTAGCTCGCACAAAAGGCTAGAACTAAATTACCTGACACATGTGGAAGTCAGCACCCATCGATCTGGAACACGATCACACAACTCGAAGACACATTGCATCTTGCCCTCTTGTACCCCTTCCATTGCAGCAATTCCAGGCGCGATGTCCGCGATCCACCTTTCACACTCGAATCCGCGCCAGTGTATGCTAGCGTCAATACTGGATGTACATTGTGCGATCCTTCTTTGCCCTCCTTTTAGCCGCCTTGACTTTTGCTGCACATTCGTCGACTTTCTTTTTGGCGTCATCATATTTTCCCTTGATTGTCTCGTACTCTATCGTAGCTCGGACATGCGCACTGATCGCTTTGTCCACGTCGTTTTCATCGTCAGAATCGACTTCGCTGTCGTATTTTCTTGGTTGAAGGGTTTTGGCTAACTGCATTGCCAGGACTCTCTCTCCGAAGTCGTCGTAGTATATTGGCTGCGGAGGGCAGCACATGGATTGTAATTGACTGCGGTGGCGGCCATATCCCAGACGCTCGGCATAGTAGTCATGCATTTTGATTCGCCAGTGAGCAGAAAGGAGCTGGAGGAACTTGTGCAAACTGAGGAATGTGATGTGGAGCTGAAACTACGTTATGAAGTGGTAAGATCTCTGGAGAGCCTTAAGGATGGCTCACAATTTATATCCAGGCACTCAGAGCAACACTATTGCCTCCACCTGTGACTATTCCTGTTCTCCATGGTGAGCGGGACGGCTTCGTTGGCAGTCACACGTGTCTCAAAAAGCGAGCACCATGGAGTCGGATGCTTGTTAGCCTTTTTAATTTCCCTAGTCGGCGTCGCTCTCCCATTAGCGATCAGACCCGACAGTGGATATAGCGCGGTGCTGCAGAGCTTTACAATACTTGGATATCGTCGGGGAATCCATATCAAACTAGTTACCGTGTCCTACAAATAATCGTGATGATGACTAATAGATTAGTACTACAGCTTATCTCGATCCTGAGCAGTGTGGTCACGATGATAGAACTGAATCGACACGACCAGGCTCAATATTATCGTACTGGCCTCATTTTAACAAGTAGATGGCGAACTCTCGTGAGATCTACGCCATTAAACTAGCCTTAACCAGATGCAAACAAAACCCACGAATCTTTTGCATGAACGCACCAGGTCAGGTCAGGGAGTCGTACAAGTGTTGGGGTATTTCGAACACAGTCGTGGTCACATTGGCGCTGTGACGGGAACGAACAGGATGTAACCGTGAAACGTGGAGCTGCCAATAGGTATTCTGAACCAATCAGTGAAACTTCAAACTACACGTACCCCACGCATCGCGCCTATCGTGAAAAGTATGGGTCACAATCGGGTTCGAAACTGCCTACGATTTCAGACCGACCCATGTGACAGCCGCTTGTGAGTTGTTCTCACTAAATACCCATGATATGAGTGCTATTTACCGGAATTAGAATCTTCCGTCACTTCTGACGCCTCCGCTTTGGTAGCCTGTATGACTAGCTTTTGCTGCCTCTTGAGTCTGTAGCGGACACACTCCATCTTCATCATTTTCAGGTGACTTGCCATCTTGCACCACTGAATCACATACAAGCTCCTGGTAATACGCATCTCGGGTATATTCTACGTTGGATGCCGGGAATAGAAGAGAGCCATGCTGTGCGTGTCCAACCGGGTTGATACTAGGCTGGTAAGCCATTGAAAACAAGGCTGATGATCTGGTCTTTTGCCTTCTTCAGCTTTTGCTGCGGCACAAGATCCCACGCTCGCAAACTTGTAGTCATGTTTACTTGTGTCCGCGTTGCGTAAGCCACAATTTGTTCTATGACTTTGATTTCGACACGCATGACACAAATGCATTTTGAATTCGTCGAACAGCGTGTAGAAACCAGCCTCTGCTTGGCTTTTCTTGCATAGTTTTCTTGAAATTTAACACTGCTGCAACTTCCACAGTCAATTTCCCTGCCGTGAGTTCGTTCCCAGCGATGCAATGATGCAATACTCGTCTGAACCATTTTCATTCCTCGATATAATAGGGCAGGCGATGGATTAGAACGCTTCACAGACTTTCAGTGCTAAGTCAAATATCTTACGAAGTTCTTGCCCTACCTTTGAATGACCATGTCTCCGTTCGAGTTTGAAGGTGGCGCATTCATTCGGAAACACTTCTGTCGAGCTGTTTGGCTGACAAACAGCCAGTCGAGCTCAAGAGACCACAATCTCGGAAAAGTTGATGAGGTCATGCTACGGCCGTGACGATGGTTTTGCCAGCTGATGTGCCTGCCTTCTCGAAAGGTGGTTGTATGCTTCGGGGAGCCTTGGCATTGGTCTGCTACACAGTTTTTAAATTCAACCTAGAGGTTTGAGTTGGTTGTAAATGGGTACTTTGATCACTTAGATATCGTGATGCTCTCACAGTGACATAGTCCTGGACGCATGCATACTTGAGGTGTCCATAGTCTCACGTATGTAGAGTACACTGCTCAGAAAAGGTAAACGAGGAGCATTGAAGGCTATGATAGGCGCGAAAACTGAGACTGATCACTATAGTGACGACCAAGTCGTCGCGATTCACGTCGACTTCCTGCAAGCAAGTAAACTCGCTACGAAGGTAGTCTGCAGAAGCAGCCCGAATCCTTTCATCATACCCATCGAACAGCCCCAAATCTACAAGTAAAGTCGCTGATATGCCAGAGACTCAAAGCCACTTCAGCTTGCTGACGAGATGCGCAAAGACATCGACGTGGGTGTGCCCAGAGCCCGCGTCACGCGTAAAGTGTGGGCTGAGACACAATAGCATGGCCGATTTTCATTGCATTCAATGACCATCCTTTGGCTCTTGTTTGTCGTGCTTTCTAAGGCATCGGCCTGCCCGGGCAAGTCTCCATGGTTGTTGGACGTGGTATTCGCTTGTGTGTTGTTCACACACAATTGTAGCAAATCCTGTGGCGGCAGACGTAGCTGCTGTATGCATTGATGGAAAACTGCGCTGAGTTGCTTGTTAGCTAGAAGGCGACCATATATACATGCCCTGAGATGTGCTAGTCCAAGGTAGTCAACTGAAGTGACGATCAAGGCCTATAGGACCGAATTGCACCGCAACAAATTCGAACACAATGCTACTATCTAGCTGGAAGAAGACAGTGGTGTCTGAGTTGATGACAGAGCTGAGCAAGTCGCCACCAAAAGAACCTGCAGTCGGTAAGGCCAAACCGATCGTCGCACCCACAGGTCAGTACCAGATCGGTCATGCGGATGATACAAAAGCGTCGACCATTGTATCTCGGACTATCGAGCCTTTCCATGATGGAATACCAACTCATCCGCTCTCACCTGGTGTCTTGAGCAAGTTTCCTCCTTTCCGATACTCTGCATCACCCATGCGACCTCAGCCCCAGCCACTACAAGAGAGGCCCTCGGCACTTACCCCATCTTGCGAGCAGGTTGAGTACACTAGAAAGGATCGGCCGACACTTACCACGCTATCTCAGCTTGCTTCTGCGCGTGCAAAGGTCGAGACGTGTGGTGATTTGACCTCAACTAAATCCCAGAAATCGTTTTAATTCGTCTGGCGACGCTGTCCAGCTCCGCTCTTTTCCATTTCAACAGTGTAGATATGCATTGCGTGCAGAAATCTTGTCCCCGAATATGATTTTTCCATTTCTCTTTTCTGACTGTAATGAGCGACTGACCGTAGTAGCCATCTATCGTGATTTGGACCTGAGCGGATACATAGACACTATCGCCGTAGTGCATGCAACGCGTGAACATGTGAGTGTAGCCTCAAGCTTGAACGGTAATTAAGTCCGTTCGTCAATTCTGCAAGATGGGCCGCAAGCCGGGTAAATACCCTGACTGGCTGAATTAGCAGATCTAGTTCCGTGCCCCGCAATCAAGAGCAATGTATATCTGGACGAATGAAATTGCTTGGCGGCGGGAGTCGAGGCTTCTGCTTCTACAACATGATCTACCGGGCCGATCATGCGTACCTTACATTTCGCGAAACGTTTCACATAACAGGGATGAATATGGATCCCCAGTAGAAATATATACAAGGGTGGCTTGACCAAGGTCCTGCCTAGATTATTTTGCCGTACAGTCGCTTCCGAGGGATCCTAAATGAAAGGGTCAAGATGTATTTGCCGTAGCACAAGACGGCACCACCAGACGGCACGCTAACTTTCATTTCCGACTCAAAGGCGGAAGTTGGAGTATAAGAAGACTTTTCTTGGCCTACTGTTGTATTATCTCACAATCCCTTGTGACAAGCTTATTCACCATGGTTCACTACAGCATCATCGCGTCTGCTCTCTTGGCTGTGGCCTCCGCACAATCCCTTGGCAACGGCCAGGAGACGCACCCCAAGCTCACCACCTATGAGTGCACCAAGAAGGGCGGCTGCAAGGCCCAAGACAGCTACGTTGTTCTCGATGCCGCCAGCCACTCTATTCACCAGAAGAATGACACCACCAAGGGTTGCGGCAACTCGGGTAGTGCACCAGACCCTGCTGTGTGCCCTGACGAGGAGACTTGTGCAAAAAACTGCGTTCTTGATCAGATCAGCAATTATACTGACTATGGGATCTTCACCACCGGTGCAAGCCTGCGCATGGACTTTTACGGCAAGGACAAGAAGGTGCAGAGCCCCAGGGCGTACCTCCTCAGCAAGGGCAAGAAGAATTACGAGATGCTGAAGTTGACTGGCAAGGAGTTCACATTCGACGTCGATGTGTCGAAGCTGCCTTGCGGTATGAACGGCGCTCTGTACCTCTCTGAGATGAGGGCTGATGGTGGACGTTCGAAACTGAACCCTGGAGGTGCCAGCGTTGGTACTGGATACTGCGATGCCCAGTGCTTCGTTACTCCTTGGGTCAACGGTGTTGTAAGTAGTCCGATATGATCAGTTCCATTTGCATCCTAACCGACATTAGGGTAACATTGATGGCTCTGGTGTCTGCTGTAATGAGATGGACATCTGGGAGGCGAACAGCCGATCCGCTCAGATTGCGCCCCACACCTGCAGCAAGCCCAGCCTTTTCAAGTGCCAGGGTGCTGAGTGCGGTGCCACTGGTCTTTGCGACAAGAACGGTTGCAGCAAGAACTCGTACCGCAACGGCGCAAAGGACTTCTATGGTCTTGGCCTGAAGATCGACACCAAGAAGCCCTTCACCGTCGTCACCCAGTTCCCCGCCAAGAATGGCGTCCTGCAGTCGATTGAGCGCAAGTACGTCCAGAATGGCATTGTCTTCGAGGATCAGCCCAAGAACATCACCCTGAACGACGAGACCTGCACTGCCAGTGGCGCTGATATGTTCATGAAGTTGGGAGCCATGAAGGGCATGGGCGATGCGCTTAGCCGTGGTATGGTGCTGGCAATGAGTGTCTGGTGGGACGAGAGCGGCTTCATGCATTGGCTCGACAACGGAGACGCTGGTCCTTGCGATGCCACTGAGGGCGACCCCAAGAACATTGTCAAGGTGCAGCCTGCACCCTCCGCGACTTTCTCCAGCATCAAGTGGGGTGAAATTGGTTCTACCTTCACGGGCAAGAACATATGGACTGCATAGACAGATAGCTGTTTGTAGACTGATAGATCTCGCAACGAAATGCACGCCGCATGTTTGCAAGTTTTGTACCGGTTTACTAAGCCTGCAATTCTAGGACGTGGCTGATGCGCTAGAGGTCTCGTAGCGATAAATTGAGACAAATCTCGGGGTGGATTGGTGAAAAGAGCGAGGGCACGATTGATGTTTCAAAGCCCAGCCACATGTTGTTAGTGACATCATCAATGGGAAGACGGGACATGTCTCCATTTTCAGCCACAAGTCAACGCGGCCCGAGAGACCCGCGCGGACTTTACAGCCACATGCGTAATGCAGAGTAGCTGATCGCGAGTCTAGAGCGGGCCTTGGCTGTTCGCACTCTCTCGCTCAAAGAAGCTAAGAAGCTACCGTAGTGGCTCTCACATTTTTCTACGAAGTACCACCATTCATCCAGCAGGACACACTGTCACACAGAGAAGCAGCGCAACCGAAGTCCGGCCATGGAGGCTCAAAGGCAGGTCGCGCAGCATGCAATGTATTTATATTTTCGAGCCGAGATGCGGGCCATGGGTATAGAGCGGATCTGGTGGTTCTTTCGATGCCAAGTTGACTTCGTTTCCACGTTTCAGTGCACGCTTCTTCCTTCTGCCTCTTCATACACAGTAGACAGACAGCCTCGCTCGTTGCTGTATTGCCAATCGCAAACGTTCCACCAACCAACACCGTTACGATGACGCCTGCAACCACTACGTCCCCCCATTCGTCAGCTCAAGTACCAGATTTGAGGATCGAGCTTCGATCGATAACCTCCGTAGCACTGGGCGATCCAGGACAACTTTTGTCAAACAATGGATCAAGAAACATCGATCTAGCGGATTTTTGCCGCAGCTTTCGACTACAGTCTCAGTTATCTAGAGATTAATGACTGTGAGACCAATACCTACCACACAGCGGCAACGCTGTGTGCGATCTTCTTTGCGCTGCAGGGCTTCTTCCTTTCCCCTGCTGTTGTCGTCGCAAAGGAGTCGATCCTGACAGCGAGGAATGGCCCCCCATACGTCAATGTGCGCGCAAGAACTCTGTACCAGTCTTGAGCTTTAAGTAACTTTGAACGCACACTCGTTGCTTTCCAATGATCGGAGCATACTCTACAGTGTCGGTTGGATTTTGAAAGACCGTGTTGCCGAACGTAGGAATGATGCCCCGCTTTTCTTGTCGCGAGTCAACGAGTCACCGAAGTGACGGCCAAGCAACTCGAACAACGAGTATAAGTACTGTATGCACTGTGATCAAGTGTTTTTTCGGATATCAAGGCCTATCTACGGGGTCTCGCGGAATGTGTACTCTAATTACAACGCCATATAAAGAGTATATAGGCTTCCAGACCACATCCAAGAATCATCTCTACGGATTTCCAGGCAAAGACCAATAACAAAGAGTCTCTAATTGTTTACAATGGCGTTTCTAACTCATTACAAGGCAGAAGATGGTCTCTCAATTGTGCCTAATCACATCAATGGTTCGCCTCAGCCCTTCGACCCAGCGACAGCCAGCCTATTTCCCGTCATCAAGGCCGTATCCGAAACTAAAATACATCACGCTGTCTCAGCTACAAGCTCCATTGCCATCTCAGCATGTGACGCCGCTGCAACTGCCCTCCAGTCATGGCGGAATACCACACCGTCTCACCGCCGCGCCTTGCTTCACAAAGCCGCCAATGTCATCGAGAGCAAGGCGCAAGAGATCATGCAAGCCCAGGTCGACGAGACAAGCTGCCCGAAAGAATTTGCGGCTATCAATGTAAAAGGTAGTGTTGCACACATGAGGGAAATCGCTGCTGCTACAAGCGAACTGAGGGGCACGGTGCCGCAGAGAGGCACAGGACCAGATGGTGAGGAGGTGGAGGAATTGACCATCGTAGTCAGGGAGCCGGTTGGTGTTGTGCTCGTCATTCCACCGTAGGTGCGCTTGTGCTGAGAATTATTAGTGGTAAGGCTGACAAGTGTAGGTGGAACGGCGCAGTTGTGCTGCCACTGCGAGCTGTCAGCCAAGTGCTTGCCGCTGGGTGCACCGTTGTGCTCAAGGCTTCCGAGATCTGCCCAAAGACGCATCACTTGCTTGCGCATTGCATTTAGCAAGCCGGCGTTCCTAGTGGCGTCATCAACGTCATCCAAGTACGGCGCGAAGGCGCCGCGGACGTTACGGAGGCCATCATTGCGCACAAAGCTGTGAGGAAGATCGATTTCATTGGCAGTGCGGCAGTTGGAAAACGGATTGGCCAGGTGTGCGCAAAGCACCTTAAGCCCATCTTGATGGAGCTCGGCGGGAAAGGACCAGCCATTGTGCTCGAAGATGCTGATTTACAGAAGGCGGCATTCCTATGTGCCATGGGTGGTGAGTATTTCATCACCACTTAAGTGAGCGAGCTGCTAACAATTTTAGCTATTATAAACCATGGACAGCTGTGCTTCTCCACCGAACGCATCATCGTGCACAAGGCCAATTACGAGAAGTTTATTCAGCTGCTCAAGATGAGCTTCGCCAAATTCCCTGCAGCTGGAAATGCAGTCTCCAAGCAGTCCGCTCAACATGCATACGATGTCTTGATCGATGCCCAAGATAACGGGGCCGCATACCTCGTGGGTGGTCCCGAGTTCATAACCCCGACTAGTCTTAGGCCCACCGTCGTCACGAAGGTGTCGCGCAATGCTCGTCTCCGAGATGAAGAGACCTTTGGACCCTCGGTATCCGTATATGTGGCTGAAGACGACGATGACGCTGTTGCGATTGCGAACGACTCTGCGTACGGACTTAGTGCAGCAGTGCACAGCGGTAGTTGGGAGCATGCATACAAGATTGAGAGACAGCTCGAGTACGGGCAGGTACATGTCAACAATATGACCACTGGAGACTCTCGTGAGTATATCGAGAAGGATTTACAGACATTCAACTGACAGTAGATTGCAGCGGGCGCACCAATTCGTGGCGTGAAGGGCTCTGGATGGGGCCAGTCCAACTCTATTTGGGGCATCCACGAGTTTAGTGTCGAGAAGACTTTAGTAAGTCCTCCTTTTAGGTCCTAGGTCAACTGCTGATCGAGCGAATAGTATTTCGAAAGCGATAGTATGGCTTTGCTTGCACGGTCAGGTTAAAATGCTCCAGAACTCCTTTTACGGTTCTTGTTGCAGCCAAAAAGGAGGTAAAATGTACATACATTAGCACCCCTGAATTGGCTGGTAAATAGGCATGATATCTGCTGCGACAGTTCTTTATTTTATGTAGCTTGGAAAGATAACAATAAGCGTATAATTGTCAGCTTCATACCATATCAATGACTGCCAGCTTGCAAGCCTGCTCTACCACTTTGAGAAACGTCTTACATTTGGCCCACAGGAAAGCAGTTCCGACTCGCTGAGAGACCTTGCGGCCCGAAGTTCGGAACTCATCATGATGCTCCTCCTGAAGCACGGGGCCATGATTGGCGCCAAAACTCACGAACAGGATCGACGTGCCTTCAATGCATTATCTGTCGGGGTCGGGGTTTGCAAATGGATGCAGTGTCATCGTCGACTCTTCAACGTTCTCTCGTCGAATCTTGGAATAGAAAACGACTACCGTGCATTCCTGAGTCGACGTCGTCGTGAATTATCGTGCTACCGAGCACACAAACCACTCAACACGGATGCAGAGATGAGCAGATGTGACGCTGCGGTACGGATTGGCTCCGGCAAGGTTGTAATCGGCCTCCATGAGTCCGAACTGACAGGTAGATTAGTCCCTTGGATGACGATCGGTCAGAAAATTTCCCCGGTCCCATGACCCCCAAATAAGACTGCGAAGGTTGGTAGTCAGCATGTAGAAGTGGTGAGCCAGCGTGTCCACTGGCACGGAATAGCAGAGAGTAAAGGATCGCTGAGAATAGCGACCATGGACAAGGTCCCTGCGTTGAACTGCAGGATAAAGATGGTGACCAGACCTGATGCGGTTAGCGTATTCTAACTGCGAGCGCTGAACTTCACGATGATGCAATGTGTCAACACAGAAAGTCCGCCTGGGAGGCTATCACAACGCGTCAAAGTATTTATCTGTCCATTCGCAACCTATTTGAAGCTCTTCATAGCGACACATTGACCTTCTAGCTTCCACATCCAACAAACAATGGTGCAGCACCAACTACCACCTCAAGCCATGCATGCGGCTAATCCCTGTACAGAACGCACTCTTCAACTCTGCCTTGCGGCAGTCCACCCAGATTCGTAAAGATCTGGACCAGTTTGCAGACAGCGCTGCGCCTTCACCACAGCTCCAAGCGCAGCTCAATGCAACCTTGGCAACATTCTCCCGCACAATCGACGACTATGGCAAGCTTGCAAAGCAAGAACCTGTACAGACGAAACAGGAGAAGGCGTTCGAAAGACTCAAGAACTTTCGCGGCGAGTTGGACGAGTACCGTGAAAGTTTCAAACGGATAAAGAGCGCGAATGAAGACATCGTAAGTTAAATTTCTGGCTTGGTCAGGCTCTCAGATGCAGCAGGACTGACACAAGTTGCAGAGGACTACAGAAGCGCGTACAGAACTACTCGGCCGCCGCCCTCATCATGCTGCAACACCAGAGAATCCTTATGCGCAATCGAACATCAACGCAAACGCAAACACACACTCGCCTTTCGCACCATCACAACCCTACGACCCGAACGCGCCATACCGACCGAATCCATACTCTGCAGGTGCGCCACAGGGCGGTGAATACGATCGTGAAGGCCATGTGCTGCGCGAGAACACGTTCTTCAACCAGACCTCGAACCAGCTTGATGAGTTTCTTGATCGCGGCAGAGCGGTGTTGGGAGACCTAGGACAGCAGAGGGAGATGCTGAAGGGCACACAGAGAAAGCTATACAGTGTGGCGAACACGCTGGGTATCAGTGGTGACACCATTCGCATGGTGGAGCGCAGAGCAAAGCAGGACAAGTGGATCTTTTACGGCGGTGTAGTTGTCTTTTTCCTGTTTTGCTGGCTAGTCATCTACTACCTGCGATGAGAAGAGGGCGTGTCTTGTTTTATGGGTTTAGCGGGGCGTTCGGCGCACGGATACGATAACTTGAGCGTATTGCATGAATGTTCATCAGGCCATGGCCTCTGTCGCTGGGTCTCGTTAAGGACAATGTAGCTGTTAACGAAGTAAACAGATCTTGTTAGAGCAGTTACAGCTTAGCGAGCCGAGTAAAGCGCTGACATTCGCCATCGACCAGCAACTGTTATCTTGGATTAACTCTTGCGTAATGCAGACGGACGAGGAAGTTGTGCTTGCTACTTTTGCTAGCTCTGTTACACAGATCTGCACGCCCACCCCGCTCATCGACTAACAGCTTCACCAGCTTGGACACATGGAACGTACGCAACTTTGACCGAGTGCTTAAACGATCGTCATCATGACATGTGTGAACAGGCTGGAGCAATGACTTTGCTTCAACGAATGGTCCGGGCGCATGAACCCTCCGATCGCTGAAAGACGCTCCCACAAATTCTAATGAAAAGCACTCATGACATGTGTACTCGCTCAGCTCGAATAGCAAGAATACTACGAGAGGACTGCAAGTCGAAAACGCGTCAACCCGATCTTCCGACTGCCGCCAAGCCATGACATTGTCGAGATCTCGTCAAGTAATTCGTTCAATATACGCCCCCTTTGCCTGCCCAGTCACTGTGCTCGTTGACGGTCCGGCACCTTAAAACGCGTGTCTTCACCAAGGATGTCTCAGATGGTCGATGCTTCGTTCAAGTCTCCGAATTTCACATTGCTGTCTCTGCTGTTGCTCTTGAAGGACATCCAATGCACTATGCATTGGGCTCAAGAGCGGAGAGTTGTGCCCAGTGCAGGCATATCGTGGCAAATCGACGAGACTCGGCCTCCGCGCAGGTACCGACAGTCTTTGCACCGAGAAGTCGTAGTGCTGGAGTTGGTGCCGGCCCCTTCCATGGTCACTGAAGATTCTGTCTGGCAACAATCCGGTCAAGTCCTCTACCAACGATCGACGTTCACCGGGCATTCGCAACTCTTCGAACATCGGCGGACCACACCTTGCGACTTTCTGCAGAACTCTGTGCCACTTGTCGTTATCCACAAGGCTCCTAAGTTGCAGTAATCCATGGCACCATTCTGTCACCAGGATGTCCTTTTCCTCATCGTGGATATCTTCCGAGTTCCTCTCCAAAAACCTCAACAGCGCCTTCGCGAGATCGACCGACCGATTGTGACGTGCGGCGTGGCAGAATACATAGAACTGACGCCGGCTGCGATACAGCCCTTGAGTCCCACCCAACTCCTTATCTTTAGCCAGCTTGTTTTTCAGTCTGGTCATCAGAAGGTTTTCATCGCTTCCATCGTATCCTTCCCAGTAAGTCTCTAACTCTACCACGTTCTGCTGAATTTCTGCATGCGAGAGATATATGCCACTGCGGCTCAGCCCACAGCTGATGGAGTCGACAAGATCATCGCCGACACCCACTGGATACTGGCCATGCAACATCCTCCGGGTTGGGATCATGTATAACTTGACGACTGAAGACTCTAACCCAATTTGCGCAGACTAGAATGCGTGACTTTCTTAAATAGCCCTTCCGAGATGGTTCTAGAATGGTAAACGGATTCAGAGACGTCGTATTGTGCGTTTGTTGCTGAACATGGAGTAGAAGTGCAGTAGCTAGAATAGCTCTGGGAGTCGATTCTATATGCGTTCTCTCCGACTGCTCAGCCCTTTCGACCCGGTGTCGGCGTACTGTCGTCATATTTCTGGAGACGCCGGTCTGGTCACACTGCATGTTTGCTCTTTCAGTGAGTCCGCGGGCACTTGCACCCACGGTCTTCCAATCAGTCGTTTCCAATGTACGACAGCCGAACGAGCTCTACCAACGAATTTCGTCGATTTCTCGCCGTGATCACACAGATCCTTCGAAATATTCTCAACAGTGGCAGCCTGCCGCCCTTCACAGGGATCATCTGAACACGCTGTGCGATCACAAAGAGCCAATCGTCCCCCCGATGGATCCCAACAGTCTGTGGAGGTAAGCGAGGTCTGCGACATGTGGAACGCTTCCATAACATAGAGCGCAGTTTCAACATTGGTGATCAGTCAGTCGTAGCGATGTAACTATTATCTTCCCGGATGTATCTCGAGATCTGGTGCTTCTCTACATGGCTTACGAGGCACCTCAATCCTCAGTCATTCCAGAGTCAAGCCTGAGCTCTGAATGAGGACATTGGGCGGATTCTCTGCGCACGACGCATTGCCCCCTGTTGCACTAATAAATGTGATACAATCTCGCAAACCAAACGTTGCGCTCGATCAAGACTCAAGCGCGCTAAAAGTCACCATCAAAGCTGAAGAAGAACGCATGCAACGATTTGACGCAATTGCACTGCCAGTTGTTACACGAGTGGCAGTGTACCGCACTGGCGGCACTGTGCTGGCAAGATCCGGCTTATCTACAAGCTGCCTAAGCCACAGTGAACATCCAGCGTCTTTTCCAATCACATATCCTATCACCGGTATCAGTCAGGCATTTTTCGAACAGGTACTCACCATGGCGTGCACAATGGTGCACCTTTCTACAAGCAACTTGAGACTAGTGACCGTAGTGATTCGAACGGGATTTTCTCTCCTATTTACTGCCATCATATCGAAGATCAAATTTGGGACGAACTAGTGGTTGGGTAGGCCAAGACCGGCTTGCTAGCACAACGTAGTGAGATCTTGATATAGTGCAGAGGTCCACGGGAGCTAGGAAGCATCAGTCTGCGTCTGACAACGAGTAATGGATCGCACTGTCGGTGTAAGCCTCACTTTTGTCGACCGCCCTCTCAGCCACAGCCACAGAGACAAACCGATAGCACCTCACCGACATCTTGAGCAACAAGAAAAGACTCCATCCTACAGCACCTGCACCACGACAGGGTCCTGGTACCAGGTCAGGACCTCTTTCTTGACAGTAGGCGGCCACCTCGCAGATTCGAAGACGGCTTGGTAGATATGGGAGAGATCACGTAGGCATTAAGTCACCTTGGTGATGCAATTTTATCATGCTTGACTCCTCAGCTTACTAGTCCAAAAAATCATCGAGTGATGATCCGTTCTACCGGTATGCGCTTGATGGCTTCAACATCGCCCTTCATAGTGATCGATTCTCACAGGTGCTCAAGAAAAAGCGCGATCAGAATGTCTCTCTCTTACCGCTTGAGTTTTCGAAGGGGATTTCTCTTTGTCTTCATTTTCAGGACAACCTCCTTATCAACGGCCTTTCGGGCATCTCGTGTATATTACGTCTTGTAACCGGCAGCTCCGCAGGTATTTCCGACTGCAAAGATGGACACACATCAGGATACGATGTTATTTCCGAACTGACAACAAACTTCTCATTACTCGCCAGGTCAGCCACAAGCTTCTGGTTACGGTCCGCTCTAGCATCTTTTGCCTCCGCTAATTTGCCTCGGCGTCGACGGCGGAGTAGGAAGGCCACAGCGGTCATCGCACCCATCAGTGCCATCACTCCGCCTACAGTACCACGACCTATTGCGCCGACGTTCACTTCGGTGCCAGATGTTGCGGTGGAGGAATTGGGTGATGTGGCCTGAACAGCGGCAGGCTGAAGAGATGATCCAGTAGTACTCGCGGATACAAGGCTGGTGAAGAACAAAGTGGAGAGAGTCGATGCAGACAGAGCCCCGCCGAATGGGGCCATGTTCGGGAAGGCTCCAACGTCGTTAATGTATCCTGGAGGTAACTGGTGAACCCTGCCAGAGACTTAGTGTTTCGTGAATAAGGTTTACGAGGCCGCGTACTGTTGACATCTTCAGCCGAACAGCTTGTGAAAATGCACAGTCTGAGTGAGTTACTGACAGCTGGCCAGCCCGTAGTGCAGTGACATCTCGCATCCTCGTCGCTGTCGCTGGTGCCACATCCAGTGCCACGAATTGCCGCGACGAAACAGGGTAACTCCCCTTGTTCAGCAAAGAAGTATAATGGACACTGGATATATACAGCGCAGTTTGGAATACCGCCATTGCCTCGTAGTCTCTGAGCAGATACGGCAGCAATTGAATCCGTAAATGCCAGAATGGTAAAGGAATGTATGTTGAGTGTGACGTTACCATGAAAGATTCGGTAGACACAGCACTTGTTATGGAAAAAATCTGATCATGGAGTAGAACGAGGGTGGAGATTGCCAAGCCAATGATGTACCAGATCTCAGCTACGACGCCTGATCGCGCTTGGAACTCTGGAACCCTAATCCGCTACTAATTTCTGAGCGTGTGAGTATCTAGAAATCAAGAACGACTTCAGATGTTGTGGAAGACCTTCTCCAACTCTTTCGGCTCAATATACTTCCCGCCCTCCCTCTCCACCTCGTCAGCCACAAACACCCAGAAGTTCCTATTCACCTTCGCTACAGCATTCACCAGCACCTCCACCATGCCCTCATCAATCTTGACGATCTCCTCCTTTGACTCATCCTTCCCCTTACCCCTATCCTTTACTCTCACATCCTCCTTCTCAGCATCCCTACCCTCAGCACCCTCAATAGTAGCAGGCCTCCGAATATTCGCACTCAACTCCGTCGCGTTTTGGAAGTCCTTGACGCGCTTCTTGCCCGCCTTGCTCGTGCCCTCGCGCCCACTTCCCGCATTTCGCAAGTGTGAGTAGTCCCCCGGCTCGAAACCGACCTCCTTGGCGGGCGTGGCGGAGACGGAGTTGTGCAGGACGAAGCGCGAGTACACTGCTGCTTCGGTCCAGGTTGGCGCTTCTTTATTGCTGAAACGACGCTGGTTGAGGTGTGTGACGATGTCGCCCCAGGGTCTGCCTTCGGCGCGCAGCACGGTAATGAGCGCGTCTTCGGAGTCCTGGAAATTGAGCTGGTTGAGGGATGAGGATGGTGTGGACTGCAGAATGGAGATGTTCTCCAGTGCGGAGGCTTTGAGCTCGCGGGCGCGCTTGAAGCTATCAACTTGGTTTGTCATGCTGGATCGGCGATGTTGGTTCCGGCTTAGTGGGTGGAAGGATTTGCAAGTGAGCTTTGTGGTTGAGTGGCGGCCTCTGCGTGTAAGGTGAGGAAGGAGCGTTGGCGATGGAATAACTTTTTAATCGATGTGAGAAGGCGCTAGTTATTGTAGAAGGTTGCTAATACATCTGCGTCTTTCACTTGCCTCTTCGGTGCCGTAAAGAGCAGCTCTCTTACCTTGAGACTCTAAGTCGCTCTGTACGCGCGAGACCCATGCGCGGTGACAAACGAGAGACAACTAGCACATAAACAAGCCCGTTTCCATGAAGCAGTGACCGTAATAAGACAACCTGACAATACATCGACGTGAGCAAAGTGAGGATCGTGGCAAGTTTGAACACATCGCATTCCTGAAGCTTCTACCCTCTGCCAGAACCAAAGCCAAACTTCAAATTCATCATGAAGTACCACCGTTTTACATCTCCTTTACCTATTCAAGGCCCATATGAACCTAGCTTCCGCCTCGATACGCTTCCTCTCCGCCTTCATCGCCGGTGTCTCGGTTCGCCTTGCCGGCCTCGCTCCCCTCGACGGTACGAGTGACCGTAGCAGCGATGTAGTCGACCGCGCCGTCGATGAAGACTTGATCGACATGGCGTCTTTTCCTGGCCTCACGTCCATGCTTGGCTGGTGTATGCTTTTCATTGTTGATGTCGCGAGATGGCGTGGGGTTTGAGTCGCTGCGTGCCGCCGATGATCGGAGGTGTTGAAGCTACGCTCAGCTATTATGATGGGTGCAGACTTCTGAGCTTCAAGATGTGGTCGAGCCTGACGGTGAAGATATATGACTTGGCTGTATTGCTGAAGATACTGCGCACCTGAGGTTCGACCCTCTTGATCTTATACTATATGTATTACTCCTGCTCGACTCATCACGTACCAACCCGCCCTGCTCTAGTTTTCGCACCATCTCCCCTGTCAGCGCGCGTAGCTCATCGCGCGAGCACCGAAAGCGCGTCCGGTAAGAGTTCTCTTACTCAGCCCTGCCGCATCACCCCTTCGAGGCGCAATCCGAACCAACTACCACCTCACGCGCTACGCGCACCATGCTGTGACTCACGCCGCGATCCCTGCGCGTCACAGAGCCAGATGCTATGTGAAAGGGCGGTCCGGGGGCTGTCCACCGACGGTTCGCTTGTCCGTGCTTGATGAGGTAAGCGCGGGGTGGGTTGGTGGTGGATACCAGTAAGGGCTGAGTTCGCCCTTTCCAGACCGCGGTCACGCTAGCTAGATTGAACGACAACCTTTCGGCGAGGCAGTGTATACGGGTGTTCATCATGAATCGGCCGCGCTCTGTAACGGATGCTTGGGTTTGGAAAGTCTAGCCGCTACAGCTTTGCTACATTCTCGATGGTCAGGAGTGCATCTCAATGCAAGGTTCAGTAAAGTTTGGTGGCCATGGCTGCCTGGTTCGTTTATGTACCGGTACCTACCGTGTCAGTGCACCCAATGCACGGAGTCCACCAATGCACGGGGATCGCGATTAACAACCCATTTTCAACGCGTAACAACTCAACCACCATGGCACCTATTAATAATGCGCTTGCAGCAATTCAAGCGCTAAAACTAGGAGAAAACCTTGTGTATCAGGAAATAGCTAATTGATATAGTGTTAACGTACCTCACGGGCGAATGGATCACCGAGCGAGTGGATCACTTTTGCCAAGACCCCAACAAACTACCCTTTACACAACAATGTCTCCTCAACAACACTAATTAGACGCGCCAAAGGAAGCTTAGATACAGCTTGCGCTCTAGGCTCTTAAAATCAACGCGACACTCTCCCAGCAGGACGCTGCAGCTATCTCCTGGGTTCCACAATCTACGCTAAGTAGACAACGCGCAGGATAACCTTCACGCGCTAACTCTATATCGAACTCGCAGAAGCTAGACAATAATGAGGAGAAGGTGATTTTTAAACATGTTCTTAAGCTAGTTGTGCAAGAATTTCCCCCTTGGCTCTTAGACATAGCTAGGCTGGCGGATGGGTAGGGTAGGGTAGGGTATAGGTATAGTCACGTGATTTATGGGTAGGAACTAGGTAGGGTACATGAGGTACCCTACCCAAACCGTTTGGGTAGGGTAGCACGTGACTGGGTATAGGTATAGGTAGGGTAGCACGTGACTAGGTATAGGTATAGGTAGGGTAGCTAGGTAGGGTCTAGGAATGGGTAGTTATTAGCAAAATCTAGGTTACTACTCTAGACTTTGTACTATTGTATACTTTAGAGCATAAGTATGTGATAATAGACTGTGATAATAAATTATA